CCGCCGGCAAGCGGCCCGGGCGCTAGACACGCCGGAGGATGGCCAGCAGGCGACGCGCGGTCATCCGCCGGTGGGGCTCCGGTGACCACAGCTCCGGCAGGGCCTCCAACAGCGGGGCCACGCCGGCACTGACGTCGCGCGAGTATACCGACCGCGGGCCCCGGCTGCCGGGGTTCTGGCCGGACGCCACCAGGGCGATGATTTCCGGGAAGGAGACGTCTGATTGCGGCAAGCCGAGGGGGGGGGGGGGGGGGGGGCGCCCAGGACGCCACGGTGCAGGGCATCCCCCGGGGCTCGTGTGGTTAGCATCGCCCCGGGGCCAGCGGGGGGGGGGGGGGGGGGGGGGGGGGGGGGGGGGGGGGGGGGGGGGGGGGGGGGGGGGGGGGGGCAGGGCCGAGACAAAAGCACAGGGGTCTCTGCTCCCGTGGGAGAAGCAGCCCCGCCGCCCACACGCAGACACCGACTGGCCGGCCGGCCGGCCGGCCGGCCGACCGACACAGACATCATCCGGCCCGTGCTCCCGGCCCTCACGGCTCCGGCGAGCCTAATCCCTGTCTGGGGCAAGCAGCGGGGCGTGGGGGGGCGGCCCCGGGGCGGGGCCCGGGCGGGGGGATGCGGAGTCCGAGGGGTCGGGCAGCGGGGGGGCGGGGGGGGGGGGGGGGGGCCAGGGGGGGGGGGGGGCAGCCAAAGCAGGGCACCGGCGGCCGGGGCCGCGGCAGAGGGTGTGTGCGTGCGTACCGGACCATGGGCGCTCGTGCGACAGCACATGCCAAATGACCGACCCGGCGGCGTACATGTCGGCCGCCTGGAAGTCCACGGCTCTGAGATCGCTGCGGCTTGTGAGGTTGAGGATCTGCATGCAGGTGTGCGCGCGCGCGTCCGTGAGCATGGGTGCGGGCGTTGCGCCGCGAGGCGGTCGCATCGTGGGCGGTCGGGCGGGATGGGCCCCGGCCCGGGGGGCGAGGGCATGCGTGTGCGCGAAAAAAAAAAGAACCCCGGCCCGGGGCCGAGGGCACGCACCTCGGGCGCCGCAAAGGGCACACTGCAGGACATCAGCAGGATGGCGTCCAGCAGGGGCGGCGACCGCCCGGCCGCACAGGCCAGGCTGAAGTCCGACAGGACGGCCCGCATGCGGCCGGTGTCGCCATACTGGCGAATGAGGACATTGGAGGACCGGATGTCCCGGTGTGCGATGTCATTCATGTGCAGGTACTCCAGGCCGAGGACTGCGCACGGCCGGCCGGCCGGCCGGAGCGGCCCCGGGGGAAGGTGCGGGGCAGGGAGCGGGCGGGGGAACGGTGTTAGTGGCGCGGGCGCGGTGCGTGGGGGACCGCCTGCTGACGGGGGCGACAGCGGGGCCCCTTGCCGCTGGTCGAGGGGCGTGGCCACGTACGCAGGCCGGAGATGACGGTCATGGCGTCCTCCACGTGCAGGATGTCGCCGCCCTTGAGCAGGGTCGCCAAGTCGGTGGGGTGGCCCTCCAGCACGATGGCCGACGGGACCTCCGTGTAGCCGAGCATCTCCACCACGTTCGGCGAGTCCCTCATGGCCCTGGGCGGGCGCGGGCAGGGGGCGAAGGGGAAGCAGGGAAGGCCGTCAGAGGACAAGGCGCCGCGCGCAGACCCGGGGCCCTCCGCCGGGGCGAGGGCCCGGGCGCCGGCCAGGCAAAGAGCCACAGGGCCGCATGTGGCCACGTACCAGAGAATGGACATTTCATTGCGGAACATGGCCTCGCGGTGGTCGTCGGTCATGGAGCTGGACTCCTGGCCTGCGGGCGGGGGGGTTAGTCAGATCGGCACACCGGCGGAGTGCGTCCAGGCAGGGAGGGAGGGGGGGGGGGAAGCCACCGGGCAGGGACGCACGCTCGACGGTCTTCAAAACGAGCGCGCGCCCGGCGGCCTGCTGAATGAGGGACGCCTTGAGCGGGACAACCGGCTGCACGGTCAGGCGGGTGCCCTTGCCGACGATGCTCACCGGCGACTGGGCCTCATCCACATGCAGGTCCTTGTTGAAGTCCAGGAGCAGGAAGTCCGGCACGAGGAAATCTGGGCGCCAGGGGGGCGAGCAGGGTGTCAGCGGCGGGGCCAATGGCAGAAGGGGGCGGGGGCCCGGCGCGAGGCGGGCTGGGCAACCCCCTCCGGCGCAACATACCCGGCATGTGGCTGGCTCCGGTGAGGGCCAGCTCCGAATCCTCGTCCCAGAGCGGGGAGCATTGGGGCGTGCGCGTGCGCGTGCGCGTGCGCGTGTGAGTACCGCCGCCAGGGGACCGGGCGCGTTCGCGAGGGGGCGAGGGGGGGGGGGGATGCCATGGGCAAGGAGAGGCCCGGGCGGCCGGGCGGGGACGCACATCTTCCTCCTTGGCACGGCGGCGCCGGCGAATGACGCAGAGGATCAGCAGGATGATGAGCAGCAGCAGGACCGCCGCCCCGATGCCCAGGCCCAGGGCCAGGGTGCGGGCTGGGTTGCCGGCGGGGGCGCCCGCGAGCGCGAGCGGCGCATGTCAGCAAGTGGATCGGGCCGCCGGGCGGCCGGGCCGAGGCAAGGCGCGTGACGGGCGCGCGGCCGGCACACGTACCAGACGTCGAGGGCTTCTCCGGGCAGGTGCCATCCACTTGGCACCAGGTTTCCTGGCAGGCATCGGCCCCGGGGCCGGAGCACGTGTGGCAGCCCTCGGCGCAGGGCGCACACCGGTCCGGCGCCTGGGCGAAGGTGCCGGCCGGGCAGGCCGCCACGCAGGCCGCCCCGTGGAGCAGCGAGCCGGCCGGGCAGGCGGAGCAGGCAGCCGCATTGCCGGGGGCCGTGCAGGCGGCGCACGAGGGGTCGCACGGCTGGCAGGCCATCGGCAAGCCGGCCGGTGCCTCGCCGGCCGGGCACTCCGACACGCACTGGCCCGTGGCCGGGAGGAGGGCCTGGCCGGCCGCGGCACAGGCAAGGCAGAAGTCCGCGCGTTCGGCGCAGCGTGCGCAGTCCGGCGAGCAGGGGACACAGGCGCCCGCGGCGGCGAGCATGCCGGCCGGGCACTCGGCCACACAGGCCCCGGCCAGGAGGAAGGAGCTGCCCTTGCAGGCATGGCACTCGGTGGCCGAGGC